AACGTACATAACCCACAGCTCACCAAAGCCCCATGGCCACATTTGCTGGCAGACGCTGCTGCTTATAGCAAAGAAAGCGGGACTTTGACTGTTTTGAGCTGTGTAGCACTGGAGACTTCAGTTTGTCGGGGGTTCCCCAGAACCTGTGCTCTTTGCTGCTTCCCACACTGGTTTCATTCTTGTAAGAAGGTTGAGAGAACATCTCTTGACACCCCCACCCTAGCACACACTGGTTTCCCACATGGCTTGGATTTTAGCTTCTGTCCTGCCCAGCTGAGCTTCAGGCACAAAGTAGTGAGTGTTCTATGATGGCAGATAGGAGGCTGCTAGTTGGCTCAGGTGGCCATCTATCCAGACCCATTAGCCCTGCTTAGCAGCCAGAAAGTGCATGGGCTCTTTCCTGGTGGTGTAGTGACCTGGCTCAAGCCACCACTTCAAGTGGACAGAGGCAACCCCTTGGTCCCGTCACCCTCAGGGCAGGTCATGGCAGACTCCAGACCCAGCCTTGTGGTGGAATAGAAGAGGGCACAGTTGCTCTCCCCCTGCACACTCAGCTCCCCTCAGATTCTCCTTCAGCATGTTTGTCCATAGAGGAACTAAAGACTAGGATAAAGTTGTGTTCTAGTTCGCTGAGTATCGTGTGACTGTGTGAGAGGGCATGGCGAGGTGCCAGGCAGACCCAATTCCAAGTGAGCCTCTCCCTTGCCTGCGGATCACGCACTGACCGTGCAAGAACTCCATTCCTTTATCTGCAAAGGTGTGGCAGTGTGCCCATCTCAGGTGCTGTGAGGATGACACCGGGGGACCCAGTGCTTGCAGTGATGTTATGACAAGAGGTGACTCTGACCCAAAGCCTCCTGCTTCTGGTCCCTAGTGTCTGCTTCCTGTCTTTCCCTCTTGGGTCTTTGTGACAGAGCATCCAACCTTAGGGTCCCCATTTCCCAGATTGACAGTGAAAGTGAATAAGGCCCTCAGGAGTTTTCACAGCAGACCCAATGGTTACAGGGTTTCCCAGCGCCAGCCCCACCTCCCACAGCACAAGCTACTCAGTTCACAGGTGTGGCTGCCCACTGCTCTGCTCACCCTGCCTCTTGTTTGGGAGTTCTCAGAGAAGGACTCATTGTCCCTGAGGATCTTGGAAGGGGCCTCTGGAGAGTGACCTTTGGACTTCATGGAGGAGCCCTTCATATGCTCACCTCCATCCATCATGGGCACCAGCTCTTCGTCATAGGGCCAGGGAGAGGTCATGATGGAGATGCTCAAGAAAGTGACAAGCCACTGCGTTGGAGGCTGGAAGCTGATGATGGACTCTGACAGAGCCTTGGGTCTTTGTTTCCCCAGATGGCCATTGTGTTCAACCAGGAGGGCCTGAATGCCATCCAGCCCCCTTGTGTGGTGCAGAACTTCATCAACCACAATGCTGTACTTTACAAGGTGTTTGTGGTGGGCGAGTCCTACACGGTGGTCCAGAGGCCCTCACTCAAGAACTTCTCTGCGGGCACATCAGGTAACCTACTGTCCCTCGTATTGTCACTCTGTGTCAGACCCTGGGGCAGAGCCAGGATGGATACCCAGTGTCTGTCCTCTGGTATCCCTTGTTATTTCTGGGTTAGGGAGAAATGACCAGAGTTGAAAGGTTGTATGCAATAGATGGATTAAAAGGTCCCAAAGAACCAATGAGAGAGCCCATGTGCCATGAGGCACTGTGGAGCTCCCGCCCTCAGAGCCTCTGTCAACTCCAGCAAATTTCTGGAAGCTTCCTATCCTCCAAGAAGTCCCCTGGACCCATCCAGTGATGATACTGGGGCGTATGCCATGGTGGATGTGGGAAGGGAGGGAGGGGGGTGACCACTGACTGCTCTGCATGCCACCCTTGCCTGGAGCTTCTGCTTTCCAAAACAGGACCCTGGGTCTGAATTCCCTGCAGCTTCCACTGCTGTCAAGGTCTGTCAGGGTTTTCAAAGCAGGCAGCAGCTGCTGAGTCACAAAGGTCTGAGAAGGGGGGGGGGGG